ACTGCACTCCAGCCTAGGTGACAGAGCAAGACTATGTCTCAAAAAAAAAAAAAAGAAAAGAAAAGAAAGAAAAAGAAAGTGGATCTCTTTGCAGAAAGCCTCAGGCCCTGAACTTTTCTGTCATCTTCTCATTACTCAAGTGTCTAATTCCCTACATCTCACTTTTACACACAGGTCATTTTTTTTTCATGTTTGTTTTATTGCCCACCTTGGAATTCTATTTCTACACTACTCTTTAAAAGTGAAAGATCAAATCTAATACTCCAATGTGGGAAAGCATTCCCTCTATTTTTACAAGCTTATTTACACAAAAAAATAAGCTTGAGACTAATCAAAAGCTGACTTTTTACCAAATAGGAACTTATTTTTTATGTCATAAATTATCAAGGCCATCTCAAGGCAGAGGTGAGTTTAGCATCTCATGCTTTATGCTCCTTTCTTCTCCACCTACCAGATTTTTATTATGTGTGAAATTATATGAACATAAACCCCAGGAAAACATTGAAGATGAGTGTGCCATCATAAGTGACGAGGGGATAGATGAACAGGGAAGAGAAATGGGGCAGCAGCACTTTAGAATGATTTATTTCTCTCTTGTTTTTTCCTCCCCGCATCATTTTCTAAAACCGGTATTGTGGCCCCTAAATTTGGGGCTTAGGTCAGTCAACTTATCAAAGTTCATCTTCCTGGCGAGGAAACGACTTTCATCAAAATCCCAGCTACTTTTTATTCATTCTCACATTTTGTGGATTAAGAAACTGAGAACCAGAATTTATAGAGATCATTCAATCAATTGTCATATTCCTGGATCACAACAAATTGATAAAATTCTTGAGAACCCTCTTTCTAATACAGATTGACTGTAATTTTGTCTTTCTTTTTTAGTTCTCTTATTTTCTCTTATTTCTCTTATCCACTGTGGATTATCTGGTTTACTGCAGTCCTTACCCAAATAGATGTCAGTGTTTTTGTCCCGTTGTTGTATTGCCCTAAAACACGTCAAATGAAAAGTACACATAGCCAACTGGACACTTTAATAGGTTTATTGTTAGCACTCCCTCATGTTGATCAATTCTCACCACATGAAGCTATAGGATTAGGAAGACAAAATCCTTTAGAAGAGGCTGTAAAACCTAATCCTGCATCTGGATCATTTTTAACTACAAGTTGTAAGAGGAATGAACATCTCTGGATTTCTAGTTATCAGTGCAGACCAGATGGAAGGCCTTTATGAAATCTGGTGTGAGAAGGAAAGCATTTTATAGCAAGAAGAAAATATCTTGAGAATTAGCGACTAGCAGCAGCAGCTAGCTATTCTAAAACTCTCAGATCCTCCTAATGACCCCATCTACCTAAAGTGCCCAAATAAAGTAAAACCAGACCCCATGAAACATCTTTCCTCAGATGCAGCTGTTCTTTATTGCTTTATCAGATAACGAGCATGTGGTGATATTTCCAAGAGATTTGGGAAGGATCTGACACAAACATTAAAGTATAAGTTTTTTTAGGATAGCCTACCCAAGAAAGTTAAATTTGTGTCAAGATTCACATTCTTGGGAATTGAAGACAAGCCAGAGTGTCTTTTTGAAGTAAACACCAAATAGATAGTGAGATTGACAGAGAATAACTCCCAAAAAGTGACTTTAGCTACAATATCCTAATAATGTTCAGAGTCATGAGTTCATTCACCTGCACTTGTAGGGAAGCGAAAAGGAAGAAGGAGGTAACACATGCTGAGTGTCGGCTATGTTTCAGGAACTATGCTAGGAGCTGCATGTATGTTCTTTTGTTTAATGCTTACAAAAGCACTTCAATGTAAGTATTATTGGCCTCACCATTCAATCATTTATTAAAAAATTATGTATATCCTCCATCTACCTAGCCTGCTGTGCTTTTACAGAAGTGCAAAAAACTCAGAGTGGCAGTGAACACACATGGGAGAAAAACAAGAGAGAAAGTTTGAGAAGTGTGTGTGAGTCATGGAGAGGAGCCTATCAAATTCCTCTTTACCTTCAGAGGAATCATTTAACAATGTTGGTGTTTTGTTTTATTTGAGACAGAGTCTCTCTGTGTTGCCCAGGCTGGAGTGCAGTGGCACAATCACGGCTCACTGCATCCTCAAGCCGGCAGGCTCAAAGGATCCTCTCACCTGTCTTCCAAGTAGCTAGGACTACAGGCACAGGCCACCATGCCTG